TACCCCATATTATTAATAAATTATTGTTTTATTTAAAAAATACTAAATACAATTTAATTTTCCAGGCAAATTTGCCTAGAATACGGTTTAAGGGATAGAATATAACAAATTATAATTATTGTATACAAGTTAATCTGTATGATTATTATACAAATTATCTAAATATAATAATTATAATATTCTTGATTTTAATTATTAATATATTTTGTAATTATTTAAATTTTTTAAAAACTAAAATTTTTTAATAAATTTTAAATTGTTTAAAATTTTTGAATTAATTTAAAATATTTAAAAATAGAATAAATATAGATTATTTTTAATAATAATTATATTATAATTATATAAAATTATATAATTAATTAATTAATATTATAAACATTATAATTCTGATTAATTAGAATTAGTAATTTTTATATAAAATGTAATGATTTAGTAAAATGAATAAGTTATGAATACTCTAAGTAGTAGGTTGAAAGTTTAAAATCTACTAATAATAAAAATTTAAAAAATCATTTATGTAATATTAGTATTGTAATATTAGTATTATAGTAATAGTACTTTGTCAATCAGTTGAAATAGGATATCTGTAACTATAGTCCTACCAACTTAACTAGCAAGTTATAAAACATCTGTTCAATATTAAAATTATATAGAGAAATACAAACTAATATTAGGCAATGTAAACACAGAATAAGTTTTTATGATCATATAAATCTGTAAAATTGAGAAAAACCAAAACCTATTTGGAAAAACCCAAGTAAAGAGGTAATATAAATCTTTGATAATACTATTGTAAAGTCTAAATCTAAGAAACAGATATTAATATAGAGAAAATCAGACAGCTAAGAACCTTAAATAAGAAGTACTACTGACCAGGCTGCCAGAAGTTTTAAACCAAAGAAAAAGAATATCAGAAGGTGTAATCTTAGTATACTAAAGACAAATTATAGTCCTTTTAGGTTATTTGAATTGGAAGTCTAATGCCAAAGCAAAGATATACTAAAGTACTAAAAATATGCTATAAAGTAAGTACTGAGATTTAGGTAAACTTTGCAAAGTCATAACTCTGTTAATAAGATTAAATGTGAGTAGTTAGTTAACAAAAAAGTATTCTGAGCCTTATAGTTAGATAATGTGCTTTGAAATGTGTAATGGCTTGATAGATGTACAGAAGAAAAAACTTAAGATAGGTTAAACAGCACTTAGATGTACAAAAACTTGTGCATTATCTGTTAGGTGTAATATAAAGAGTTAAATAACCTTGTACAAGTTATGTAATCATAATTAAATTACAATAAATACAATAGTTACTGATATTAACAGCCTTAGTGAAAGCAAAAAAAAAAGTAATTTTTATGTAATTTAAAAAAATTTAAACTTATCTAAAGTTTTTTTATTAATATATAAAAGTGGTTTTTTTTTAAAATACAAAAATTAAAATTTGCTGTTATAAATAAAAGACTCCAAAATATATAATATAAAATTTTGATAAAGATTAGTTATAATTTTAAAAAAAAATTATTATAAATGAAATTTTGTCATTTGTATAAATTTTTTTTATACATGTAAATCATATAAAAATGATCTATATTTATCTTACTTTTAAATATATAAAATTATTAGACTATTTGAATACTTTCAAGAGAAAAGATTAATTTTAAATATTATTAAATTTTTTAATTTAAGTTTTCTTAACAAATATTCAATCAAGTAATTATTAGGATACCTTTAATCAAAAAATTTTAATAATATCTAAAAATTGTTTTTTTTCTTGACAATATTTATTTAAATAAAATTTTTAGAAAATTTTTTATTAATCTATAAAATTCTTCTTATAATAAATATTCTACTTAAACTTTTGCAGTTAATTTAAATTCTTTTTCTTTAGAATATATCACCCTTTCTATCAATCTTTAAAAGTTTCCTTTATAATTTGTTATTGTAAAAAAATTATTAGAATAAAATATAAAAAAAATCAAATAGGCTAATAATATTAACTATAAGCTTTAATTTGTCAGGCGGCTCATTCTTAATTATATACTGTAGTAGAGATAAGAATATTAATGTGTAAACCTTCTATGTGAATATTAATTTAATATCCAATAACTTAGGATTGCGGCCCACAATGCGCACAACTTACAAAGGTGTCTTAATTAATCATTCAATGTTTTCAAAGGTGCGTTAGAATACGTTGAGATTGGACCAGCAGCACTCGTTACTCTAGCTTCTTTATATCGGAATTCTCGATCTCCATCACCAAAATTGACCTCAACTTTACATTCACCATCTGCTCCAACAGTTGGGAACCAGATATGATTCAATCCAGTAAATGCATTGCCTTGTGATTTGCCATTTTTTGTAAAGAAAACGGTACCATTTTTAGGATAATAGCCACACCCTAAAAAAGATATATATCAATATACGTTATGTGTGTGATTAAATAACTTTGAAATTTCGAAATCTATTCAAATGATAATTTTTTTGTTTACCTATGGTATCTCCAACTTCACCCCATGTTTTGGCATAACTTTGACCTCCAAGACCATCATTATGAAATTTGTTTCCGTCATCAGAATGATAGCCTACTGAATGATCATTCCAACCAGGTAATCTATTGAAATAAAATTAATTTTACCGATCTTTGATTAATTGTATTGAAGATAAATGTGACCTTACCTGAAATTTGGATATGGCTTTGTTGTAAGTCCAACAGCAATTGTAGTGTCTTTTACGTTGGGATTCGATAGTATAGTTACTTCAAAGTAGAAGAACCAAAGGTCTGCAGTTTGACCTAAACTTAATTGATGACCATCGCTTAACAGAGAGTTTTCACGATATTTCTGTTCTGACTGACTATTAATTATCAATTCAGTCATAGAAGTTATCGAGATAGGACTTGGTTGAACAGAGGAATTATCATTAAACTGTGGGAGAAAATGAGGATAATTTGCTTGTATCATGACATCATTTTTTCCGTGGAACGATATAACGCGCCCTTTATTTGACACATCTATAATATTAGGTGGAACTGCACGTTCTTTAGGTATCACCATTTCCCAGGCTTTTGGACCGGATGACAAAATATATTCAACGTGTTCTTGTGGGGGCAGTATTTCGTGAGGTGGATTTTCGCGCGTAAATTGTTTTCCAGCTTTGTATGCTTTATAAGTGGCTTCATGCCTTAATCCGTGCAAATAAGACTTTTCTGGAGCGGGAGATATGCTTGTGTAAGCTGGGGGAGGCGCAATGATAACAGGAGCTGTTCCAGGCAACGGAGGATATTGCATCTCAGTTCGAGTTCGAATATTATCTTCTGTAGATTTAGTAATTTCACTTTCAAGATCCGTAGACTCGCGAAATTTATCATTATTTTTGTAATATTTTCTTATTATAATACATCTCCATATTCCAAATAAAATTATTGCCAGTATTATAAATGCAACTATGGAAAAAGTTAATATGCAATAGTTTCCGCATGTTCGATTATCGCCATCGTACCAAAAAACCCAGGTTGATGGTGAATGACTAGAGCCACTATTAGACCTAAAACGTCCGCTATAACCTACATTTTTTTTTTTATGTCAATTAAACTGAATTGTGTATAAGAAAAGCTAGCAAAAAAAAAAAAAAAAATCCAACTTACTGCTTTCAGAGTGTTCTTTTCCACCTCCGCCACCTTTAGAAAATACTAAAAGTGGTCGTAAAACTAAAACCAGGAATACAAATCGAATTGTTGGCAATTTAAACCAATATAATGAAATAGTAAAATACATTTTAATATTCCAAGAATAATGTCTTAATAATACAGATAAACGAATTTAAAAAAAAAACTCGCTTTCGAATTATCAGTGATTTTATATTATCAAAATTATATAAATTGAGAAGTTATTGTTGTGGGATATTTTCCGGTTAACACTTGATGATTAAATTATAATTTGAATCGGTTATTTAAAAACGGATTAGCTTTGACCTTAGATTTCGTCACTACTGATATCATATTGTATCGAAGAAATAATCAGCTTCTAGAATGTTATATTAGTTCATTGTTGGGGACTAAATTCCAGAAATTACTATAAACAAAGTTGCATTCCTACGGATTTGCTTTTTATTTTTAAACACCAAATTATACATTTCTAAATTTGGACCATTACAGGATACGTATATTGTTATCAATATAAATGAATTCCGCAAATCAGCCGAATAGTATTTACACAGCACAGCTTCTCTTAGTTCTCTAAATCTCGTTTATCACACGATAAGGCATGCCGAATTTAATGCTTCTTCCGTAAAAATTTTATTTACACCGGAATTGGTGGTCTGTGGTACTAATCTGAATGTGACGAAATTTGTTTTTCTCTTAATGTTACGAGATTACCCGGATTAAGCCGAATCAAACAATCTTCAAAGTAGGTTCTTCAATTGCCGTAACCAAAAATCGAGGGCGCAGTCACGGAAATCCTTGTTAAAAGCGACGATCATACATTTAGGCCCGAATTACTAAAACTTTTAAATGGTAAATCGTGTAGTTGAAGGGTATAAAATTCATAGTAAAAATCGGCGGAGAATTACTATTACTGTCATATAATGTTGGAATGCGAAAGTTTCCGGCATTATGTAAAAATCATAAAGAAAATGCCAATAACTCGCGATCTACAAACCCAATTTGAATAATTCTACCACTATTAGAACTGTAATAACTTGCTTTATAATCCTTGTTAGAAACTTAAGACAGGTTTACTTGGCATAAAAAACTTTTCATTGTAAGCTAGCTGCATTCCAACTAGGGTTTAGGGCACAGGAACCATAGGCATGCCTCAAATCCAAAGGCATGCCCAATTTTTTCCCGTGCCCTAAATCCTAATTCCAATCCTATAGAAAACGATACTAACTTTCGGCAATTTTCTACTACGTACTAAATTTGCTATTTGTTATACCCTTTAACTGTGATTTTGCTATTTTTTATACCTTTAACCGCGATTTACCTCTTAAGGTTAATTCTGGTATATAGATGACTTATAACGATAATTTTCGAATTATAAATTTTTTTTTTTTTAAAAAAAAAAAGAAAAATATCAATCCAAGATAAATACTGAATAATACAAATTTTTGTAGCCTTAATTGCTGAATCAATAATTATTACAGTGTTAACTTATTACACGAATCAGTAAAATATGAATTTAGTTTCGAATGATAGACATGTTTTTCAAATATAGGTAATAGAAAAAACACCTAAAGCAAGAAAAATAAAATAACGGCCAACAGCAATTAACCATATACGAAAAAAGTTCAGTAAAAGCACCCAAAAACTTTAAATGAAAATTTTATTTACAATGATATTAACTTTAGCGTTTGCAAATACGGGTGTCAATTGACATCGATTAAATGTTATAACGGAATCGCTCGTGACTCGAAAATATTGGGGGAAATTACATAAGGACCCAAAAAATGAAAATAATTACCGTATCTTATCGTAAATAAGCACTACACCCTCTACCCTACTTTTTTAAATATCAGATTAACGGGAATAATTTGGCTAAAGACTTCATTGCGATTTCCGCTAATCTTACATTTAAAAAATGGGGTAGAAGGTGTGGTGCTTATTCACGGTAGGATACAATACATATAAGAGCCCAAAATCAAAATTTGAAAAATATTGTAAAAATTATAACTATTTTTGCCAATTTCTACGAATTTTTGCGATCCTAAATATCTTTAAAAAAATGCGATTCATGTTTCGTAACTAGTCTTGGTATAGGATGGACTTATTGGTTTAGAACTAATAAATATTGAGCTTAAATAGTTTAACTGTATTTTGGCTAAAAGAAAGTTTTATTAAGTGAAAGAGAGTATAGTATAAAATGCATTAAGTAGTACATATATACGAATATATACGATGACGTTCAAAAAACCCGATCATACTGTAAAATTATTTTCAAATTTGGGCCTTAGCGTTAGGCTATACAAAAAATTTTTTTGGTTTTCATAACATAGAACTGTTTAAGCAGACCCAGCCGGTCGACTTTTTTTAAAAAAATTTTCTATATAAATTTGTTTACAGCTATTTTCATAATTCCTGGAACACTTAATATCGATTAAGTTTGTGATTTCGGCATAAAAATTTCACTGTTGTACATATTGTCAGAGGTAGAAATAGACAGGCGTCGCACAACGTTACTCAACGATTCAGAGGCGAGGGTCTAAGGCTTGGATTGAGTAAGTTACGCGGGTACAATTATGTGTTATAAATCTTATTTATTATTACTTTTTTGAGGGGTCTCGATTCTTCTCTCTTTTTATTCCTACAATAACAAGGTCTTTTATACATTTTTAACAAGAAAAATAAGAACAGAAGAATTGTTCACGTCTTTCTCGTTGCTTTAGTATTTCCCCACCCATTGACTAAATCGCGCTATCCCGACAAGGTCAAACAAATCATGTAGGTGGCTTTTCTCTCTACGCCATTAATTCAATAGGGCTTGGATCTTGCAAGTTTTCTCGGGCTTGCTGCAAGGGGTCGTCACAACGGCTTCGTGCGCTTCTGCCTGTACAGTACGTAACTTTTACATTAACTGTTAACTAGTGCAATGGCACATGATTATTGCACCTGCATTACAAAAGTTTTGCCAGCAC